ATTCCCTGCATTTTGGTTTTTTAATGGTTTGTATACGGCTAATAATTACTGAAATACAGCTGAAAAATCTTTATTATACGTGTTTCTGCGTACATTTTTGTAAATAACTTACTTCTGATTTGTCTGAGGTGAAAAATGCATAGAAATTATGTGGAAGCTTATAAAATTATCTTTAAAATGAGATTTTTTTGAACCTCGTCCGATGAATAGTTTCCGAGATACAGCCTTTGGAAAATTTCGTAATGTGCAGATTTTATGATAAAATCGGACTTTTTGTATAAACAAACATATGTAATGACGTATGTAGAAAAATTAATATCCATATTTTTCTGTTAGTTTACATTTATATGTACACGATCCTGTATCGGCGATAGTTTAAAAAATTTAATTTTTGAAGAACAGTTACTATAAAAATGCTTGTTTTTTGAGCTTTTGGCATAAAAAGGCGATTTGCGATACCTTTTTTTGTAAATATCTTAATTTCTGCAAGGTACACGTAAAAAATACCTTAGATAAAAATTGGAGCTTATAAAATTTCCTTCAAAATGGTGGGTTGTTAATTTATACGCGATAAACGTTGACCGACATACCAGAAGTTTAAAAACGGGATTTCTTTTTTCTAATTTGTGCTTTCATTTTCATGGTCGATAATAATAGCCAAAAAAGTTTATTTGCAAAATTTTAAAGATGACGTACGTTTCTGAGCTCATAATATATGATATTTGTTTTTATTTGGCACTTGGACTATATTTTTAGGACAAATAATATTCGAGATATACTATAGGAAAATGGTAGATTGGATAATGCGGCATCGCCGAATATGTGCTTGGGCGGCACGTGCTGCCTTTGTTCAATCGTTCTTTTCCAAGCTGTGGTCCTAAAAATATGGTCCAAGTGCCAAATAAAACAAATATCATATATTATGAGCTCAGAAACGTACGTCATCTTTAAAATTTTGCAAATAAACTTTTTTGGCTATTATTATCGACCATGAAAATGAAAGCACAAATTAGAAAAAAGAAATCCCGTTTTTAAACTTCTGGTATGTCGGTCAACGTTTATCGCGTATAAATTAACAACCCACCATTTTGAAGGAAATTTTATAAGCTCCAATTTTTATCTAAGGTATTTTTTACGTGTACCTTGCAGAAATTAAGATATTTACAAAAAAAGGTATCGCAAATCGCCTTTTTATGCCAAAAGCTCAAAAAACAAGCATTTTTATAGTAACTGTTCTTCAAAAATTAAATTTTTTAAACTATCGCCGATACAGGATCGTGTACATATAAATGTAAACTAACAGAAAAATATGGATATTAATTTTTCTACATACGTCATTACATATGTTTGTTTATACAAAAAGTCCGATTTTATCATAAAATCTGCACATTACGAAATTTTCCAAAGGCTGTATCTCGGAAACTATTCATCGGACGAGGTTCAAAAAAATCTCATTTTAAAGATAATTTTATAAGCTTCCACATAATTTCTATGCATTTTTCACCTCAGACAAATCAGAAGTAAGTTATTTACAAAAATGTACGCAGAAACACGTATAATAAAGGTTTTTCAGCTGTATTTCAGTAATTATTAGCCGTATACAAACCATTAAAAAACCAAAATGCAGGGAATTTAATAATCTTTCATTTTAATAATAACTATTTTTGGCGTAGGAGTAGCCATATATAAGATATTTCCGATGTATTAACGAGGAAACATTCTCATTTTCAAAATATTCGCAAGTCAAAATGCCTTTAAAAAATGATATCTCCGGAACTAGCGATCGTACGACATTCAATAAAATCCCATTTTGTAGGTAATTAAATACTCTTTCGATCTTGTTATGTGCGTTTTGCACGTAGATGTACCCAAATTTGAGATATCCGCGAAGACAGAACAAATTTACGTAACGCTAAAAAATAAGAGGTCACTTAAAAAAAACTATCTCGAGAACTATTGGTCGTACGAAGTACGACCATTAAAGAATTTTGTAGAGAATTTTATCATCTTTCTTTTATTATAGACCTACTTTGGCCGTAAAACTGATAGGAAAGAAGATAACTGCGAAAAACCAAAATTTCAACCCTTCTACGCTCGATAAAAGGCTTAGCGTACAAGCGAACGTTGGGAACTTTTCAGACATCATTTCTCTCGCCTAAATTAAGGTATTTACCAATTTACAGCTTGGTTGGAATTTTTTCTTTTTTACGCCCTTTTTTGTTCTAAAGTGACTGGACTACTAGGTGTTCTCATCAAGTGAATTTGACTGTACAACTAGCAAGATACATACGCATCGAGGTATACGGCTCTGGTTTAATATTGGAGCTCTCAAAATTGTTCGGATTTGAGAAGAATTCCTTGAGGATGGGCATCTCTTTACCAACTTCACATAATTCAGCATGCAGTTCCAGAGCCGTTAAAAAAAGCTTCTCGTTGAGAAGTTTTATTGCCATCTCCTCATAAGATATCGACGCCTTTGGAGCCACATATCCTAAAGTAACAGTATTCATGAAGACTATTCCTGCAGTCAATTACTCTGCAGTTGTAATTGTTTTCATGTTCAACAGTTGGTTGTGTGATTCGCAATCTATATTGTTGTAAGGAGGTTACCTGTGTTATTAGCAGGCAAAGATATTTCTTCGACGACACTCGCCATGATGTTAACGTACTCAGGTACGTGGAAGGATAAAGAATGACATATCCACGTGAAACAGTATTGACCTATCCTATCCTGTGCAGTATGCAGCTTTGATATTAAATACCACACTTACGTAACTAATGGCGAATTCGACAGACTGCACTAGTACGCACCAGTGCGCACTGAGTGTGAACCTTTTTGGTGCCACACATTCGGAATGTGCGCACCGTATAGGCGAGAAACACACACTTTTGCATAACGGATAAAGCATGTGCATAAGGAATTTCATTGGCCCATTTTCTTATGCATGAGTCAATGGACCAATCAAATTCTTTATGTATATGGTTTATGCGTTATGCAAAAGTCTGTGCTCCCCGCTTATCAGTGCGCTTAGATTATCGTATTCGGCAAATGAAAACTGACCTAGGGTGCTTTCCAGCTACGAAACACATGGCGAATTCGACAGACTGCACTAGTGCGTACTAGAGGCCTAGAAAACAGAGATGCGACATTGCGTCGGTTGGGTTAGATAACCACCGCCAATTTAATTCAATATAAGTGCTCTTGACCAATAAGCTGATGACAGTTGATGCAAAAGGTAGAAAGATTAGATTAGGTTAGGTTAAGTCCGATATTAAATATTCACACAAATAAGAATACTTACACCATAATAATAGTTTTGTATTGCACTTCGACACTGTATTGTCTAAATTTTTCTCTCTCTATATATATATATATGTACATACGTTATAAAACTATATCTATTAGATGCAATAGTGAATTAAAATGGCTCTCTGATAACGTGATTTAGACAGCCAATCAAGCCATACCCTTCAATGACGCATCTCTGTTTTCTAGGTCTCTAGTGCGCACTAGTGACCCTCTAATAAGAGTCTGGCCACCTTCTCCCCGGTTTGTGATTGGTCCGACATTTATCATCCATTCCCGCAAATTTCTTTAAATTTATAAATTGTAAAAATTAATAAATTCGTAAAAATTAAAGTACAATCAATTACAATTTTTATTTTTATTATTATTTAATTTATATTAACATTATTAAATATTTTCTATAAAAACTTTTATGTAAAAAAAACGTTGCAATATGTCTTTCATAAAATAAAAACAACAATTAAGTAAGTATTATAAATATATTGAAAATATAAAAATTAATATATTAAGAATATATAAAATTTATAAAAATATTACAAGATTAAGAAACTTTAATAAAAATTAAATTTAAATACAAATAATACAATTAATGCTTTAAAATTCTTAACAAAAAATACTTAGGTAGCACCAATAGGGAATAAATAAAGTAGTATATTTATGCAGAAAAAAATATTT